GTGTTTGTGTGTGTGTGTGTATTTTTGTTGTTTTTTTGGGGCGGGGGAAGGGGGGGTTAGGACGCTTAGGGTGTTTGGGATTTGAAGGTTGGACTTTAGGGCTTCCGGATTGAGGATTGAGAATGGTTTCTTCTGGTGGTTTGGGTTTTTGGCACCCTTCTTGCCAATGTTCGCACATGTAAGAACAGAGCATATGTACTTTTTGTTATTTGTCTCTTCTCCGCTTTTCAGGTACATCGGCCGGTCCAGTGCCGCCAAGTTTGCAGAGTGCCTGCCAAGGCAAAAACAACCGCAGGCAGCATGAAACTTATGGTTTTCATTTGCATTTCGATTCTACATTCAATAGTCTTTAATGGTGTTGTGATTCATTATGTTATTGACAACCGTTGGTGCGCGCAGGTGGGTGATCGCATCCTCACGATAGAGCTTCTGAACGCGGATGGCAAGGAAATCATAGCCTATGGCGCTTTAGCCGATAAAAAGTCCTTAGTGAACAAGGGCACGTTTCCTCGTGGACTCTGGCAGCCTGTCGCTACGGTCCAGCTCACAATTCGCCGAAGAAGATCGCAGCAGGCGAGCTTCAAAGTGGAGGGATCCGGTCAGATCAAGGCAAGGACGGGGTTGATATAGGGGTCGGGACAAGCGATTCGTAAAAATGTGTCCTTATATGATACGCTTCTTTATTTTGGAAATCTGAACATAACCCAAAAGCCTATTATTTTTCCTACATTCCCGAAAAGCAACCATAACGCCCCGAAGGTCTAGAGCAATCCTGAACCCGTAGAGCCCATGCCCTGAACCTGCAAGCGTCAAAAATTGAAGTTCGCTGATTGAATCTTGTTGCGTATTGCAGATACTGGTGATCCAGCATTACCACGACATGAACTACCTGGAGCAGCATCCTGCATCTTGTGGATTCACGGTTCAGGGCTTGGGGTGTTTTTGTACTTTGGGTTCAATGTTTAGGGCCCGGCTTCAGCTTTGAACCCTGCTAAGAGTCTGCTAAGAGGCTGAAGGTTTCAGGGGACTTCATAAGTGGGTTAGAGGCGGAGATGTAATCCGGCGAACCTTAATTAGACCCCAAACCCCAAGCCGTAAACCCTAAACCGTTAACCCCACTTAAGCAACTTATCGCCCTACTAATGACGCGGAACCTGCTTGCCGAGTCCCCTCTGTGGCTCCCCAGTGAACCGGCGACGAACACCAAACCCCCAAACCACCTTACCCTAAATCCTCAGCACTTTTTTAAGCCAACATCCGCAAAAAACATTACAAGCAGTCTTAAACCTCCTTGCCCAAGACCTAAAGAATCCTAGCTAGAATCCCAACACCCTAAACCCTAAACAAGACCAAGGCGAAGTTTTTGTGACTTCCATGTGGTGTTGGCCTCAACAGGTCCCCTTGAGGGTTTTTGTTGCTTTAGGGCTTAGGGTGTAGGGCTTTAGGGTTAGGGCTTTAGTTCTTTAGGGTTTAGGATTGTCAGGGTTAAGGGTGTTTAGGGCTTCAGGGTTTTTGGGTTTAGGGTTTTAGGGTTTTGGGTTTGGGCGGTTGGTCTTGCTGGGTTCGTTTCGTTTTGTTAAGTTGTTAAATGTTTCTACAGTGTTTTCGAGCTTCGACAGCGCTTGGAAAGGTGATTTTATGTAAGGGTTCTATAAAGGTTCCACAAGTTCAAAGGCAAAATCCTGCATTAGCTTAAGCACACTACTATGGGGGCCCTACAATTTACCTACACTATGTTGGGGGTGCCCTATTATAACTAGGGTATACTACAACCCAAAACCCTATTCTGAGTATTAAGGCCAAGACAGTAAGCTGAGAGGGCTGTGCCGCATTTTTGCAGGGGTTTCATGCATCAGCGGTGGCCCTTGGCCCTTGGGGATTTTGCACGGGCTCGGGGAATTCCATAAGAACTTGGATCCTAAACCTAAAACCCTAAATCCTAAACCCTAACCCCTAAGCCCTGAACCCTAAACCCTAACCCTAAGAGAGACAATGGTTGCGTTCGGGAGCTGCGGGGTTGCCTATGCCCTAAACCCTAAAGGGGTATTTTGCTTTCAGTGGGTTATAAGGAGTTTGGGGAGTTTAGGGTGCTGAGGGCTTTGGGGTTTAGAACCCCAAACCTTACAGGGTTTAGGGCTTTAAGGTTTAGGGCTTAGGGCTGACGGCTTGGAAGTTCAGGACTTTGGGCATTGGGGGCTTTCTGGAAGCACGATGTATCGAGTCTCAGCATATTCTGCAGTGAGCATGCAGACCTCACTTGCGAGATCCCCCCGCCCACGCCGAACTGGTGTGGTATAGAAGCCTAATGGGCCCAATTACAGGGCCCGCACCAAGAGGAGCAACAGCAACAAATACAACACGTCAGCGCAAGGACAAAACAACCCAAAAAGGGCTCCAAGTATGTAAATGGTACCTACTTTGGGGCCTAAAGTCTGTAAGTAGGACCTACTTTGGGCTATTTGGAGCCCCAGGGAACAGCCCAGAGCCACCAGCAACAGCGGCAAGCCAAGCCAGTAGCGACCTCAGCTGCAACAGCCGCCCGGAAGACTACCGCTGCTGCCACTTAGGGTTCAGGGTTTAGGGTTTAGGGTTTCACCAAGACAAGCTGTTGTTACACTCTTACAATACCCATGACGGTAACCCCTGACACTAGCCGGATACAAATATAGAATGTCGCCTATTCCCCTATATTTTCAATCAAAGCTCACGACCCGAACCTCCAGGAATACACGCATCCACTCAGTATGCCGCATGCATCACCGAGGCAGGGTTTGGGGTTCTAGGGTTTAGGCTCTATTGAGTTCCGTTGCTTCTATGGCTGGGTGAGTTTTTAAGGCTGTAAGGAGTCTTGCTCACGTTGCTTGTACTGTCTCCTGTAAACCCACGCATAAGTTCAAGGGCCTTCAGACTTTGATCGTGAATCCAAGGGGCCGGCGGATGACTTGGGGGACTTCGGTTCGGGTTGGGGCTTTGGGACTGGGTGTTACGGCTGAGGTGGAAGTGCATGAAGCTAGAAAAGGGAGTTCGGGCGGTTGAGGATTTGGGGTTTAGGGTTACCATGTTGTCGTCAGGCAGGACACAGGTAAATACTGGTTCGGCAACTTTCTTCTTAAGCGCGAGATCCAGAAAATTGGGAACCTAACATAGACTCCCCAGCAGTGGGGGTAGTTATTCGGAAGAGCTGGAAAACTTACTCCCATTTCTATGCAACCATGTCGCGGACTCCGAATCCTGGGTTTCTAAACCCTCGACCCTAAACCCTAAACCCTCAACAATGCCCCTGTTAGATCGGTGTGAATGAAAGGCAAAGTTTCAAGCCCGGCACCCTGAAACCTGTAGATGAAATTTGCCCTGAAGCGAAAGAAGCCCCAAACTGTAATATAGAGATCTATCCCTTTATAGTCCTTAAGCAACTATACACTACGACGAAAAGGTAATCCAAAACCCTGAAAAATCATAAAGGCTCCTATCGGGATCGAAGAAGAGAGTCCAAGGTCGAAGTGTAGTCCTTGAGGTGCTAAACCAAGCCCTATAAGCCCATGACTTCCTCGGAGACCTAAACCCACGTCCCGAGTGTTCAGGTTTACCGTTTTGGGCTTAGGGCTCAAGGTTCATCGGGGGATCCATGGGGCTGACTACAGTAAGTTAGCTCGAAGGATTACTCCAAGGGGGTTTAGGGTTTAGCCCTAAACCCTAAACCCTCAACCTCCAACGGGGTTTAGGGTTTAACCCAAAACCCTAAACCCTCAACCCTCATCGTGCATGGACTAGATTGGCCATTGTCCAACTGAGGCGGTGCCCTGGAAAACTGGTCAAATCATGGGTGCCAAGGTGGGCTGTAGCTGGAGCGCGGTTGCATCTGAAAAGGTCTGGGTGTAGTTCTATACTTGTACCATTGTTAGGATTCTGACATGATTTGGCAGGGATCCTCATATATAAACCCTCAAGAAGCGGAGAAACTAGAGTGGATGGCCGCTTGGCTGCACCAACTCTCTGTCATGATCGTGAACTGCGACCTGTTTTCATTTGTGTTCGTTTGCGTGTGTCTGTGTTTGTGTGTCTGTGTGATAAAAGGAGACTTTATGACCAGACGTGGCTGGGGACCTTGATACTGTTTAGGGTGTAGGGTTTAGCTCTTTTCTTGCTGGCGGTGATCGCTACTTGAACACTTGTTGCTCTTGTAGTGGTTGTTGCTCTGCTGCCAATGCAAGCACTGGTCTGAACTGTGGCTGTTATCAACGTTTTTGTGGAGCTGCTACTGCTACTGCTGGCACTACATTTGCGACCACTATGACTATAACTTGCAGTAGTCAGTGCTAGTTACTTGCAAAGCAACAGCAGCAACTACCACAGGTTCCATGACAGCAGGCTACGACCGCAGCTGCCGCAACTACTGGTGCTACTGCTGCTGCTGCTGCTGCTGCTGCTTACCAGTGCTAGCACAGCTACCCGCACGACTATTGGCGGGCGGCGGTGGTGGTGGTGGTGGTGGTGGTGGTTGTGGTGGTGGTGGTGCTGGTGCTGGTGCTGGTGCTATTACTCCTACTACTACTACTACTACTACCACCACCACGACGACGACGACGACTACTACTACTACTACTCCTACTCCGACTCCCACTCCCACTCCCACTCCCACTGCTACTCCCACTGCTACTGCTACTGCTACTGCTGCTGTGCTGTGCTGCTGCTGCTGCTGCTGCTGCTACTGCTGCTGCTGCTGCTGCTGCTGCTGCTGCTGCTACTGCTACTGCTACTGCTACTGCTGCTGCTACTGCTTCTGCTCCTTCTTCTACGACGACTGCTACTGCTACTGCTACTGCTACGCGTCAGCAGTTTGTAAGCATATTGGGCTTATGAGTGCTTCTACTTTGTCTTCGTTGTACAGGTTGAGGCTCTCCGCGAGATGGTGCAGTGGTGGTCTGAGGACCTTGTTCCGGCTTCGACATGTAAAGGTGTCGGGCTGGAGCTTGGATTTCAGGGTTCCCAGTTCGAGGTTGTTATGGAAGTTTGAGAGATGTCTGACTCTTTTTTCGCAGGGTTCCTTGTGAATTATGCAATAATCTTCCCCGAGACCCTGTTCCAACTGTTAAGGACTTTATGTTATAGAAGCCTATGTAGAGCCCTTATAGACCCTTGTAAGGAACACTATATGTTACTGGCTTCGGGGTGAAGTCGTTGTTGTCCGGTCAAAGGGTGACGAAAATTGGTGGTTTCGCATGTTCGGTTGCAGTAGCGCCGTGAGGGTTTGGAGGTACAGACGATCGTATCATACCGGGTTGTAAACTTTGTAAACGACTATGAGGAAGATGGTCAGCAAGTAATTATCTTTCCCCATCTGTGTAAAAAACTCTACAGGAATGCGATTTGCAACTATTCCCCCCCGTGACATACCCATAGGCCCCTAAGTAGGTCCTTTTTGGGATTACCTTATAGGATTCTAAATATGAACCACGAAAAGGAACTACTTAGGGGCCTATGGGTATTGCTTTGATACCCCCGCCCATGACATATTGCTTTGATCCCCTAAACCCTAAACCCTAAACCGTAAATCCTAACCCAACCCAGAGGATGCGCAGAGCTTCGACATGCTTCTCAAACGATCCCCGGCGCTCTTCGAGATCGTCTCCCGGCGGCCCCCAAAACCCTACATGGGAGTTTCCGAAAGTAAGGGGTACCTTATTTGGGGGGTCCTTATAATCAGGATCCTACTATTTAGGGTACTATACTAGGGTCCCCTATTTTCGGAAACCCCCACATCTCTGTACCCTACAGCAGGCTATTTAACTAGGTTTTAGGGCTTTATGGGTTTAGGGCTTAGGGTTTAGGGATGATTAATGTTTAGAAACCTACCTATAGTCTCCATTGAAGTTCCTTTTTGGGGTTACCTTTTAGGATCCTTCATATAGAATTGGTTAAACCAGCAAAAGGAACTGCAATGGAGACTAGAGGTANNCACGAAAGCGAAGCCTGGGAGTATCGCGT